AGGACGCATTCCGCGGCCGCGTGATGAGGAGCCTTCGAATTGGGACTGTCCTCCGCGCGGCGCAATGACGTATGCGGCCGACAAATGCGCACTCATGAGGACCCAGCCCATGGATTGAGACACAGCCACTGTGAGTATGACTCAGCACCCTGTGAACAATAGGTGATAATCAGGGCCCTAATAATAGTCAGGTGGTTGATGCACATGATCCTCTATGAACAATAGAGCCAATCAAGGCACTAATAACCTATTGTCAGACTGAGGGTCCACTTTTGCATTTAAACAAACAGAGTTGATTGCATTGTTAAACCTGTTTGTCCATGTGGAGGCAGAGCTTTAAGGCTGAGGTCACCTGAAACTCCTCAGACTGAAGAAGTCTCTCGTAGGAGAGAAAAAAAAAACATTTCTTTTTAAATTTTTCTGGAAATTCTCAGGGCGCTCACTGATCACACAAGATATTTTCAAACTTTAGTGTTTAAGACAGCAGTGACCCACATCCTGTTGAAAAAAGCATCGGCCAATGTATGYGTGTCAGTTAAAGGAGGGAGTAGTCTGCTTAAATAATTCAGAAACTCAAACACAACTCRATCTCACCTAAATACTTACATTTCCCAGCAACAGCCAATCACACCGACTTAGTTTTTTGTAAATTGTCAGCTCAGATGCTTGTCTCCATGATGTTTGTCTCATTCACAGCTGCTGGAGGACAAAATTCTCACTTTTGTGAAGACAGAGCTGAGAAAGATCCAGAAGGTTCTTAGTTCAAATCATTCCCGATGCTTATTTAGTCAAATGGCACATGAAGATGGTTTGGATGTTGAGGCAGATGAGAAGAGGTGCAACAGAGAAGCATTTCTACACATCACACTACATTTCCTGAGGAAGATGAAGCAGGAGGAGCTGGCTGACCGTCTGCAGAGCAGTAAGAACACAACTAAACATTTTCCTCACTTATGCACAGAAGAAGAAATAATTATTTCATCCACTGCTGATTTTGAAAGTTTGCTGTTAGAAAAAAAAATTAACTTTTGGCATTTTTAAAGAATTGTTTTCTTTAATCTCAACCTCTCCTTCATCAAGGCTGTGGTAAGGTGGTTTGGTTTGGTTTGGTCTACTGATAGGGATCCTTCCAAAGGTTTTACAGACACCCAGAGCCAGAACTCACTGTAGGAACCAGACATGGGTTTTTACGATGTAAAAACAAGTGTGCATTGCCACGTAGCATGTCATTGCAGCATGGCTTTGCCTGCAGCRTTGGACTTGCAGAATGAACTTTGACCAAGTTCAAATGTGTTTTCTATACCAGCTTGTGCCTGTCACATCAGCAGGTGTTTAGAATTAAGGTAATTGAGTGACAATATGAAGTTTGAAGAGATTTTTTGTTAAAGTTGCGTTAGCTRGGTTTTGAACCCTGATCTCCCACATGAAAGTCCATGACATAGACCATTAGACCAATGGAGCTGTGGCAGAAGGTGGTGGCAGGGGTTGGTTTCTATGTGTGCAGAAAGAGGCCACATTGCCAATACAATTATTGACACTAAACTGCATAATATTACAACAATCGAGCAGTATTAAGACAATATTATAGTAAAACATCAAAATACAGTCATATTAGTATTGTAAACACTGAACAATTGAGATTAAATATTATTAAAGGATGAAGCAGTACCAAGTTGAGTCCAGCATGGGCAAGTATTGGACCATTACAAGGCCCCATTGACTCCCATTATATGAATTTTGGAATAAAGTTTAAAAATTAATATTTCAAAAACTACAAGTTTTACAGGCACCAGAAGGCATAGCAATCTACAATGGCAGCTGTAGGACAAAGTATGCAGGAGGAGTAGCGTGGCGAYGTGGAAGAAGACGGAATAATAAGCTGAAGAATAATAAAGAGAAACAGGAAAACAATAGTGTGCATTGCATTGGCATTGCACACTGATTATGAGTCCTCATTCAGTGGCGTTACACTCGACCCCTCTTGCTCCACATTGTTTTCAGCTCATGAAACAGAAGTGTGGTGAGAAGGTGTTTCAGTGCGCGCCCTAAATCAGATAACTGTGAACGAGGCCTCGTTATGTCGCATCACTGTTGAACTTTTTAATGGGTTTCACTTTAAAGGTCCTGATTCTGTGAAAGCTGTGGGTTTCTTGAGAAAATTCAGTTTATTTTTAAAGCGCCACAAACATTGTCTCAGGGCACTGTGCACAAAAAAACATCAACTTAAAGGAGCYAGCAGATTGTGKTGAATCTTCACTTCATCACAGTCTCCATCACACTGGTGACAGTGGAGAGGAAAAACTCCTTTTTAACAGGGAAAAACCTCCAGCAGAACCAGGCTCGGGACCGGCAGCCGTCTGCCTCGACCGGCTGGGTTGAGCAGTCTAATGCTGCGTTCACACTGAACACGTTTGAGCAGCGGGAGCGGCTGGTTTACATGCAAAGTCTAATGGTGGACATGGGTCTAGGTCGTTTAACGTGGCGCGCAAGGAAGCAGTAAGTGCGGTTGAGCGTTTTCCGTGCATGCGGCGCTCCAAAGCAGCCGACGCTCGAGTTAAAAAAAATGTAAATTTTGCTTCTCGATGCACTGCATCAACCATTCAGAGAGACTCATTTCACGTGATGAATTTTGACCGGTTCGATAAGCTTCAGAAATAACGGTGCCTTTAACGGTGCCGGAATAGTGTGGACACGGCGCATGCTGTGTTGTTTACAAGCTCCTTTTTTCCTCTTTCCCCTCCYGCAGGCCGCAGCCTCCTCCCGCTCTGAGCTGTCCTCAACACAAAGGGGAGGGGCTGCTAACAACACAGGCTGCTAGTGCTGCTAGCAAACAGGCCGCCCGCATGCGCAGAAAAAGACGAGTCTCATTCATTCAGTGCAGTGTTYACAGAGTATGTTGATTCTGAAGTTGCTGTGCAATCAGAGCTGATTAAATAATTATCTGACCTGCTTGTTTAGTTCAGTGTTTATATCAGAACCTGCCTCTGACCGGATGCTCTGGTTCAGCTTTTGTTTGGAACATAGCGTCATGTTTAAACTAAAGTATTGACMGAGKAACTTTAGCATTGACCGCTCGATGTTACTATCATATCTTTCTGTGGATTATCTGTCACCAAGCACATAGAAAATTAAAAGGAAAAAAAAGAGGGAAAAAAAAGACGAAACAACTGAACTACTTGTTCTGTATCTGAAAACGTGTTCTGAAGACAGGATTTATATCATGACTCCAGGTTAGTGTAGCTAATGCCAATTAAGGAATAAGATGCTTTATTGTAAGTTCTATAAAGTTATAAAGTGAAAGCATTGCATATTCATAGTTTGTTTTTGTAGYRTTTCCCCCACCATTAACAAAGCTCGTCTTTCTTTCTGAATGATGTTCCTGAGACACCCCGCGCCAGGAAACTCCCCCTCCTGCTTTAGCATACGTCACTGCATGGGATTTCTCTAAAGGAGGAGTCCAATGCAGAAAAAAAAGTCAGACTCGTCACTCAACGTTGTTTATCCAAAAAGCAGGGGTGAGGCAGTGCGCTCCGGTCCGGTTCGGAACTGGTTAAAGTTATTTGTTCAAATGTATGATTGTCATGGATTATTCGTTTTGTAACTAAACATAATAATATAGCACTATTTGGGTCACTTGTGGCACACCAAAGCAAGTAGATGACGMGAAGAGAGAYGTGAAGAGRAGCTGCGCATGTTGGCGCCGACTCCGGAAAAAAAAAAACCCAGAGATGCAGCACTGTATATTATTTTATTCCCTCMTTTGCACAGATCACGATGATGATGATTAAAACATCTTAATTTACAGAGAAGGGCGTGTTTTAAAATTATTTTACATCCCTGGCATGGTATTTAATTAATTAGTAAAGATTGCCCTTTAAAAAAAAACATCGCATTCCAACMCTTCAATCGCYGATAGATGATTGAATCAAAAATCACGCCATCCCTATTTGGAAGCCTCGTCAACACGGACTGGCTTCATTCATGTCCTCCTCTGCTATTGCTAAACTACAGGCAGACTAAAACAATGCAGAAAATTAGTGTCATCGTTCAAAACTTCTCCTTCTGTTTGCTGATTGGTCCGGTTGAAATTTTTACCTGAGAAGTCAATGAGAGAAATCACAGACAGCAGAGAAGGGAGGTTAGAATCTGATAAAGACTGACTCAGAATCGGCTCTCAGGCTGTGTGAAACCAAACTGGTTTTGAGTTTTTGTTTTTTTGTGCTAAAACCAGAGCTTACATTTTTGGAAAAGAAAAGAGCTGGTGCTAGGGCCGCATCTGATGACAATTTTTATAGTTAAATAATCTGTCAATTTTTTTCAATTAGTCACAATAGTTTCTGTCACGTTCATCTAAGCTCCTGTTCCAGCTSCAGTACACCTCTCATCTCACCTGCTCACACCTGTGAATGTCACCCCGTTATCCAGTCTTTCTACATTAACAGAACAGGTTCCCATTCAAATTAAAACGGTGACCCATGAAACTTAATTTAACCAGATGTATTTTTAACATGTGGTCATAACAAAAATGAAATTGAATTATACAAATTAAATTGCAAGTAGTCTTTTTAACAAACAGCTCAATAACTCAAAAAGCAGCCTCTGCCGCGGTATGAGGGGGTCTTAACCTACCTTGCAGKGTGTAGAAGAAGCTTTGAAATCTTGCTGGATCTGACAATACAGAAGTTCAAATAGTGTCTCAACAAAAAAAAGAGAAAATAAGAAAGGATGGACTATTACGAAAATTCTTTAATTTAMTATGATAGTGAGGTGAAATAACCACGTCTTCTGGTTTCTGCGGAACTGCTGCTGTTCAGTAAAGAGAGAAAACTCTGAAACAGTCTGGTTGAACAGCAAGAATCTTTATTATGCAGTCCAGGAGATTACAGCCAAAAACCAAATTATGGCCTCCAAGCCAAATGATTCACCAAGTAAGAAAGATGAAATACGAAGGCCAAGGGTGGGGGCGTACAAGGCTCTTTATAGRCTTCACAGTGTAGTTCAACAGAGGCATCATAAATTTTGTCTCGGTATACCTTAAGCATTCCTCTTCCTCATATGGTAATATGTGCCGAGCTCTGAAGCTGGAAAACCAAGAGACGTAACACATCTGTGCATTCCTGAGAAGAGGCCCCCCACTCTTGGACACTACAATAGCACTTAACGCATTAGCAACGTTAACATAAATGATAGCACCCACTTCCAAGAAATATTGTTTTCTGATTGGTAAACCAACAAAAATTACACAGTTGACTTTAGTGGTCAGTCATGCTGTGCTGCCATGGAACATCTCTGCTTGACCAAGTCTGTATTTTACTTTCTTTGGTTTATTTTCTGTTAAATGTAACCAACTTTTGAAAGGTTAGATGTTATTTTTTGGCCTCTTCATCGTGATCTTCCTTCTTTTTTCACCATTATACCACCCATTGATATTACCTGGGTGGGTCATTGTCTTCTTCTGTAGTTTGAAGGCCAGTACGTTCTTCATTGGTAAACAATGCAACCACAGACAATAGAAGCCATTCTTCCCCCAGTAATTCRTGTACTGCATTCAGTTACGGATATGTGGTTAAATAATATGAAGCGTTGACAATATAATTTGGTGTTTACTAATTTTTATAGTCGGTATAGTCAATTACTGTATGTCGACTAATCATTGCAGCACTAGATGGTGCTAAGTGAGCTCTGGCTCCAGTTTCGAACTGGAACCTGTTTGGTAAAAAAATACTCAGACCTGATCAGTCAAAGAAGAGATGTATGTGTGAATATACAGTTTCAGTTCTCCTTATAGTTCTATTCATGTGTTTCAGTGGTTTCTGAGGATGTTCAGGAGTTGGTGCTGATTAAAGAAGAAGCTCCTGAAGAACAGCAGCTTTATGTGGGCCAGCAGGACCGAAAACACCTCCATATAAAAGAGGAAGAGGAGGAAATGTGGACCAGTCTCGGAAAAGAACAGCTYGATGTGAAGGGGGAGACAGATGAGTCCAGATTTTCATTCACTGCAGTTCCTGTGATGCGTGAGGATGATGAAGATAAAACTCTGTTCTTACAGCTTCATCAACACCAAGTTGAAGTCAGAGATTATCCAATCAGCTGCTCAGCTGACAACCTGAAGTCAGCAACTGGTGGAGAGTCCTGTGGAGCAACAGAAACTACAGGAAACCCAGATCTGAGTACTCATCAATATTATTCTGATTTTTCAGAAGTTGAAGTCAATGAGGATACCATAGAGGATTYTGACTCTTCAGTAACTGAAGTCAGTGAGGATGAGGGTGAGGAAGAGGATAATGATGTGAACAATCCTGACTCTCAGCTGAAACATTTTGTAGACTCTGGCTCAAAAACTGAAGATTCTTATAAAGACTGGGATTTTTCTACCAACAGGGTTCCTGAATCAGGTGTAAGCAACAAAAATAGACAGAGGCGGTTTTGCTGTGAGCTGTGTGGGCGAAGCTTTAACCAAAAAGGGCATTTAAACACACACATGAGAATCCATAATGGACAAAAGCCATTTTGTTGTGAGGTGTGTGGGCGAAGGTTTACCATAAAGAGTAATATGATGAAACACATGAGAGTCCACACAGGACAGAAGCCATTTTGTTGTGAGCTGTGTGATCGAAGCTTTAGCGAAAAGGGCAATTTAAACACGCACATGAGAATCCACAGGGAACAGAAACCATTTGGTTGTAATCTGTGCGATCGAAAGTTTAGCCGAAAGGGAGATAAAAAAGCACACATGAGAATCCACACAGGACAGAAGCCATTTGGTTGTGAGCTGTGTGATCGACGATTTAGCCGAAAGAATGGTTTGAACACACACATGAGAATCCACACAGGAGAGAAACCGTATCCTTGTAATCTGTGTGAGCGAAGTTTTATCACAAAGGACGGTTTAAACAGACACATGAGAATACACACAGGACAGAAGCCATTCTGTTGTGAGCTGTGTGATCAAAGGTTTACTGAAAAGGGCAATTTAAACAGACATATGAGAATCCATGCAGAAAACCAAGTAGTCTTTTACACTAAGACCTAGGTGAGAAACTACACAGGAGAAAACATGGTTTTAAAGGCACTTCAAATAAACTAAGATTATTATGTTTTAAAACAAGAAGCTGGGAAAGCCCAGATGATGCCATGACATTGGAAACTTTGATAGGTTAGTTCAGAGTTTCCCAAAGTTGGGGTCGGGACCCAAAGTGGGGTCCCGAAACATCAAGGTGGGGTCCTGAAAAG